GCATCTTAACTCCAACGGGACAACGGAACTGGCGATGGCTGGGCAGACCACGTAGGCCGAGGTCACAGCTTAATTTTCGTTCTAACGTTTACGTTAAATGCAAACAACTCAGGCTGGACCTGAGCTGTAAGAATAATATTTATGGAAAAAAAGCGGTTTTCCCAATACGCTGGAACATTTACATGGCGTTCGTTTATTTTCCTTGCTAATAACTAAAGTATACAGTGTGACGGCAATTTTGGTTACTACTATTGTGTAGACGGTTTTGGGTGTGATTTTGGTTCTACTTTAGTTATACTTTTGCACAGCAGACAGCTGATTTTGGGTAATATTCAGCCTACATCAGGCGCCTGCTTACCTCCATCACTATCATGCTATACTTGAAGTTACATATATCTTCGCAAAAGCCGTTTCCTCACATGTATTCAGCGCTATTGGCCGAAAGGCTTTGGCGTCTACCTTGTAGGACGAATTTCATCGCTCAGAATCTGCGTAAGCACTATCCTGTACTAGTCACGTGACAACGAAGCGTCGATGCAGCGTACCGACGTACGGCTGTTGACTTCTGCTAACACTAAGGCATCGTCCTCATATTTTTAGTCATATCAGACCATTCTATATTTCATTCTATATTGCAAAGAAAAACATCACCGAACGTTAACAAGCAATATATCAGTGGTGTTGAATGGGTTACAGATCGAGTAGGTGCAAAGCACGTGTATCGTTATTTCGTGCATGCTACACTATTTGTTGACAGTGGTGCAGCGTCACGCAGGCATGTGCTTCCGCAAAAACCTGCTCCAAGAACTGCATCAGCCATTCAGTCTTGCTCAGTTCGCGATCCGGATCCCATCGGAGCATTTCGAAATATCGCCACCTCATGGTTTGTTTGGCGTAGGCCTTAATGATACTCCAAATGTCTTCGAGCTGGTTCAGTTGCCGAGAGTACAGTATCAGTCGTAGAAGTCTTCCTGAGCTGTAAGGTTCCTCTTGGAAGATTCGCCCCAGGTTGGTGTGACAGGGTGCGTTATCATAAATAAGGAGACAGCTTTCGGCGAAATGGATGCCATCGGTATCAAGCAGTAGCCGCAACCACTGCGCTCATCTTTCTTTATTATAACTGCCTCTTAGGACAGAATATCCGAGCAATCCATCCTCATTCATCGCGCTGATCAGGTGCAGATTTTGTCCCCGAGTGTTCGGCATCGTACAGTGCGCACGGGTGCCACGTGCTGAAAGTCCTTTTGTGCGAGCGCAGAACAGATTAAAGTTCATCTCATCTATCTATAATGTTCGCCGTCCTTCTGCCTCCAAGTTAATCAACTTCGACACGTACGCTTTCCTTAGCTTTTTGCTATCCACCGTATTCACGAATTTCGGTATTGCATGTAATTTCTTCATTGTCATGAGGCGACCGTCTAGGTAGCGAGCACTTTTGCTGACGCTCACGTCCATCTCGAACTCCAACTTCATTCGTAACCGAAGAGTTTCCAAGGTAACCGTAGGGTTCGATTCCATCCATTTCACCAAGCAATCCATGTGACTGTCTGACAGACAATTTCGACACGACACACTACGATCTCTTGTCGACTCGTTCAATTCTAATATTCCAATCCAGATTTTACATATCTTCACATTTACCTGTAACAGAGATGCAATGCCCTTCCAGCCGTTGCCCTCTTCATATGTCTTCAAGATAAGAGCATTTACATCAGACGGGCGTAAGTTCCTCTTCTTCCCATCACGCGTAATGTGATCTAAAGGTTAAAACACCATATAAATCAAAGTAAAGACATACTTGGTAGGTGAACTATGAGGAAGATTTGCTTTTCGCCTTGTCCGCTACGTGCGGTTCCCGTGTAACCAAACTGGGGGAAAGCAGAAGCGACAACTCCGCCGACCAGAGACGGACTATCGGAACCGTATGGACGTTTCCACTTATAAGTCAGACGCGAGAAATCACCTTGACGTTTCGGAACTAAGCTTATGCCTCCGTATACCAAGCGCGTGTGATGTCCGCTGTTTAGCTATCACGTTGTCCCGCTCGGGCCATTGGGTGTAATGACCCCGAAATTTTTGCACCGCTCACACATTCCACACGTACGCACACGTAGGTTAGGTTTCTCATGCTAGGTCCACGGCTGACCCCTCAGTGGGATCTGTATTAAATGTAAATGAGTATTTGATTAAGTTTGTTGCATTAAAGTCGAAAGCAGATGAGTAAAAGATTAAACAGATTGCGTTAAGTCTGATATCAATCGAGAAATGGTTTAGAATGCAAATACCGAGCTTAAGTGAGTCATCTCCCTCTTGTGGACATAACGTCTTGTTTTTATTATTGAGTTTGTGTGATGATCTGATGTGTTTAACAAATTCTGGATGATGTGTACATCCGAATCCACTGGTTATCATTATCATTACAGATTAGTTCTGTGTGAGAAACACACTTCAACTACTGTGCCGCATTACACTCAACTATATTGTATGAAAAAGCGAGATACCGTACATTATGGTATCCAAAATTCGGTAACAGACTGTTAAGTAACACATTATGCTTTTAGTTCGTGGTTGGAGGGGGAAGATAAGCGAGATGGGGAAGGACAAAGAAACTCTCAACACAAATGCTATTGAGGTCGGGTCCCTACCATGTCAACGGATGCATTCAAGCAGAGGTGTTTATTGTCTTCCGATCACCAACCCGGCAGTCGGAAGACACCAACCGACGCCAACTTCGAAATGAGTGACTTCATTCCACTTGACCAAGTCATCTATTGGTCTCCTTCCTACGACCCACACGCCGGCGCGCAAGCAACGCGTGTTACGGGAGTCGTGTGTTGTTGCGCGCAACATCTGACCCAGCCATCGGAGCCTGGTGCGTGGAATAACGGTGCTGAGCGGTTCACGCGCTATTTATGCGCCAAATGCATGACGCTTAACACGCTCATTGCTTACGCGATGCTCCCATCAGACATGAGCTAAGCTGCGAGGACAACGATGATTGAACCTAACTGGCCTCTATATGTCTCGTTTTGATGGGCCAAGTTTCGCAACGTACAGGTGAGTTGAGCGGACGTCTACATTGTAACTCTGTCCCGGGTCAACGGATGCAATCCCATTGTTTGCGCCAACAACGGGGATATCGGCTTAATGCCGTTTGTGGGAAATCCACTGGCCCCCATTCTTTTCTGTCGCCACCGTTTTGTGGAACAAGGGTCCTGCTCGTCCTCTTTTGGCTCGGTATACCTGCTCGGAACGAAGTTCCTACCCAGCTAATGAACATTTTGGGTGCCGCACACTTTAGCACCTCAGATCGTGCCAGTCTACGATCGGTTATCGGACACTTTTCCGATAACAATTAGAGTTTATCGGCTTTTCGTTTCCCTCTTTTTCCTCTTATCCCGCACTATGAAGATGTCTCATGCTGCGTGTATTAATGCTGTGCTCAGTAGAAACTGAATGCTGCGAACCATTTAGCAATTTTTCATGCTGTTTGACTTTCACGAGGCAGTGTGGTCAACGCTGTGCAATTATCACTTCTTTTGGCATATACCACACAAAGTGCACTCGATTGATCTTCCTGTAACCCTCAGGATGAAAAACTGGGGATGTATGCTCACCTGACTTATTTTGCTTTATGTGCTTGAAGTTACGCGAATATGATTGCTGAGCTATGTTTAGCATTGTGAAGGATAGAATTGCTTTTATGAATTTGTGTTAAATACGGCACAAAATGGGATTTTCGGGTTTTAAAAGTAGTGCACACCAGATCAAAATGAAAGCCGTCCTTCTGTGTGCCTATACTTCTTGAACGCATTCTCACGAAGATTGTTTACCATCTTTGCCTACGGGGTATTGCTCTTGTCGGGCTGCATTAGTGCTTCCGTAACGGCTTGACGCGTAGGCAAATAATAGAATGTGATTATCAGCTTATTTCAATTAATCGACCAATTAGATTAAAGAATTTGCATTTGCGCTGGAATTTACTGCATATGCTCACAGACTGCTTGCTGCGAATGGCTTCCTTTTGTCTTCCTATACCAGCGTGGTATGAGTTTTAGTTGAAAAACTAATTGACCTGACACTGGAAAATACATTCTTATTACTCGGCTGAATTCTTTCACTCCTCACCATAAAATTCCTCGTGATCCACTGCATTTGTTTATAGCATTTACAGAATATGCACGCAGCCAGCGTCATTGGACTGGTCAGGGGTATGGTGCTATGTTCTACGCAAGTCGATGCTAATTATGTCGTGAGATAGTGAGATAAACTTGAGAGCTGTCTCACAGGTGCCTGCGTAATTTCGCAGATAATTAGTTGCTTTCAATCACAATGTGTTCTCGTTTTCTAGGCGTGCTGCTTCCGAAAGTTTACTTCTTTCCTTTCTCCCTACATTAGGCTCTCCCCTCTGCTGTTCTCATGTGTTACAATTATTCTCGTCTCTTACTTCGTGACTGTGTGACAGTGATGCACTAATACTGCCGTCGGTGTCTTTCCAGTTTGACCATGACGGTTTTCAGTGTGTCAGATTTCGTACGTTACACCAGCGTTTTTATTGTCTTATTTGTGTTTTCTCATCGCTCAAGTATTTCGTTTTATCAGCTTTTGTCATTTGTAACTGTGTTCTCTCTCTGGCCCTTCGCCAGAGTCATTGCTTCAACGTTTCTCTGCATCAGTCCCATATTCACTTTTATCACGATTATCATTTAACAGTTCTGCTGCTACTCAACGAGCAAACCTTTTAAAACTTCTGAGCGATGCCTCCATTGGAGCCGATACTCTTTTGGCTAAGGCGCAGCAATATATCGCCTTGATACTGGGTTTTGTTCATCCTCCGGAAAATTCTCAGGATACTGAAAACAAGCTCAGGTGTATTCTTACCTACAAATGGTCCAACAGCTCCGAACTCAAATCGGCGCCCCCAATGTATGTGTATATCATTTTTCTTATATATCTCGTCCCATAGATCCGAACCCGACGCTTTGTTTGAAGTGTGCTCGATGCTTTTTACGGTAGCTCTTTGGCTCACCAAGCATGCTGCGAAGCTGGCCGCCCAAGAAGAGTAAGTGACCTCATTCAGTTGGTTCTTCTGAGCTTCGGGTGAAGCTGTCCGAGCCTTCGTCTGCGCATAGCATGTTGCATCCTGTTTGTGTTAACTCGTTGTATATGGTGCCTCACGCTTTTGTAGCATATTCGATTAAGCTTTTTTGTGATTAGTAGGAAATATCCATAAATGAATTTTACCAAAACTCACTTTCCTAACCCGATCAAGTGCTATTTCCTGTCCGCTGAGTTGACGTACTCGCTTTTTTTGCAAGCGTGGGACTCGATTCATGTATTACCTACGAGATTTACTGTTAGACATCTATCACCTACCGCCTATCTATCGACATTAACAGCACAACCACGCTTGTTGGTTGGTGGCTCATAACAATATGGCTTGAATTCCTTGAATAGTTGCACTTGTTTCTGCTTCATTAACTAGGCGAGCCAAAATTTCATTGGGTATGGGCCAGCTTAGGAGATCTTGTAGATATATTCCAAGTGAAGTGGCTATCAGCATCATAGAAGCCAATGGCCCCTTGATCAAATTGTATGCTTACAGACGGTCTGATCATCCCCTGATCCCTTTGACTATGTCGAGTGGCACTTTAAATGGACATTCAGACCTACTCATGTCAAACAGGTGGAGCGCCGCCAAACTCAGCATCAGCCTACTCATCGGACATTATTAAAATATCGATGAAGCCCTCCAAATAAACTTATCAAACGAGAGACAATAGTCCATGATCTATAAACCTAGCTCGCTTGGCGCCCATTACGGGCACCATGGATAGTCTGACGATGGAAGAACATCACTCTTGCCCACTAGATTGCTGCTACTCGCATCATGCCAGGTGGCTCTTGGTCATTTGGTCGCTTACTCCCAAGAACGCATTTGCATTTGATCGTTTTCGAGAACCATGTGCAACTAATTTGCATGAGTCTTCCGCGACTGGGTGTGGTCAACGTTAATCAGGCCTCACTTGTACTCTACTCCCCACACTGCCTGTCTGCCTTGCGGTCAAACTATTGCGTCAAAGTCTATCAACAAATTCCCTCAATTGGATATCCATTTATCTTGTTACCTTGCGATCAGACTATGAAGTCAAATAGCAGAGATGAGAAATCTCCAACCAAAACCTTTAAAGCATACAGCCTGACAGTGTCGTCTGATTACAAGGCTATCGCCAGTAGTTTCTTCCCTTCATTTTTCGAGTATTCCCGTATTAATTAACTAGAGACAACTACGGCTTTTATTAGCCACACTGAAAGGGAAAGCAACTTATTTTTCGAATTTAGAGTAACATTCCATCTATGGTTATTCAATTTTGCGCACCATGTCAGATCTGTCCTCAGGGGACACTTGCTATGACTCTACAAACCTTAGGCGTTGGTGAGTATTGCGTCTCCGAAACGCATACAGCATTCTAACGCATCTGCACTTATCATCCGTTCCACTGGCGCTGATATAGCTGCCTAGATACTTGAATTTTTCGACGACTCCTAGCTGATTTCCACCAAGGGTCAGCGCAGGAGTGGGTCCCTGCCAATATTGGAGAAGCACTTTGCATTTCGAGGGTGCGAAGCCAAGCCCAACGCGACTGACAGCCAGTGCTAATTTGTCTGCTACCACTTGGCACGTTTGAAGGTTGTCACATATAGGAGCGATGTGGTCAGCATACTCCAAGTCAAGAAGTCGTTCACCAGGGTGCAGCTCCACGACTTGCAGGTCGTGTCCAGTGAACTCAGTTTCCGTGATCTCGTTGGCGAAGTTGAGAAGGAATGGTGACAGCGGGCGTCCTTGTCTCACACCGCTGGACATACGGAAGGGCGACGACAGCTTGCCATAAGTTCTCACTCTGCCCGAGCTACGTTATATCTCACAGGAGTGGAGTGGGCACTTTCTTAGGCTCTCCGTTGAACAAAACTACCATTCAATTTTTCCGGGTCTGCGATTATTTCTTCTATTTGTGGTGAATTTCATAGCAACCAATTAACTGAGGGCCATTTTCAAGCACTTGTTCTGTGACTGGATTACGACCTGACCGTCCCGTAGCCTTGAAGATCACAAGCCTGTCTTGTAATCCGAGGGCGCGGGTTCGAGCCTGCGTAGCGGTAGGCCGACCTTCGCAGTATGCTTAGCCCACGCACGACTGTTGGTGGTTGCGCGACAGCAAGTGCTGGTACTGCGTACCGGCGTACTGCTGATGCCAAGATCAACTAGTGTTTCTCGCTCGCAACATCGCACTGCACGATGGGTTCCGTATTTGTGTTCATTCGTCAGGTGGGGATAGCCAAATTGTATCAGTCCATACCCCTCGGGTTCTATTCGCGGTTCTGCGCTGATGAGTGCAAGCAATTACCAAACCGATCATGGAATGCCGTCTTGTGAGTGAACAGCATTGAAAATTTATAGAAATTACCTTGCATCTCCATAGTATTCTCTTGTGGCTCCGACTCCGTTCCGGTTGCGCCACATTCCTTTTGTTTTGCACCTAAAGATGCCATTTACATTCAGGACCCATTCAATGTTATTTCACTTTGCTTAACACGATCTACGCTCTCCCACCCTTCTTAGAATTTCACAGGACGAGGCGAAAGATGTATACAATTCACTGCGTAACGCGGCTGGAATCTTTACCCTTTTACGAGATCAATATGTATCTAATTTATTGAACGCCCCGAAGCCTGGCCACGATTTGTCTGGGGACATATTGGAGGCTTATATTAATCAGTCCGTTGCGGAAGCTCAGGAAAGTAAGTTCACCTGTTATGGTATTCATTAAATGATGTCCTATTTCCCTAGCTACATGGTGATCGACTATTTTATTCTACTGACAATGTGCTTACCACTTGTTATCCGTTCGATGCAACTGAAGCGGTTCGCTTTCGCAAAGGCCTCGTCAGTCGACAGAAGTATATTTCTCCTTAGATCCACTTTAGTATACTCCTGTACAGTTGAACTCATACATGAACCTCAACAAGCCACCACTTTAGTGGAGCGTTGGTGGACGCCCTCTGTCACAGAAAGCATCTCTCAGAGTCGGGCTCATGTCCTGGACGCCTCATGGCAACCCCTGGGTGCGAGTTGGGTTACGCCATTCTCCCTGCTAATATCCAGGACACCAATGGGCATGACTCAGTGAATTGACAATGTGCTAGGCCCGCTGCCTTCCGGGTGTACATTTAATCGCTGGCTTCATCTGAGGACCCGAGTGATTCTGTCAGGTGTGGGTGTCCTGCCAGTATCCTAGTCCATCCTCTTCGGAGTTTAGCAAGTGGTCGATGGCCCTCTTCCCGTAAAACCTAGCCATGAGAGACAACAGATCTATGGGTTATAAGCTCACCGCTCGATTGGCGTAGAGCACGAGCGCCGCGCATTGTCGCTGACAGTGGGAGGGCACCTCCGGGTGCTCAGCAGTTTGTTACTGCCCGCCTCAAGCCGGACAGCCCCTGGTCAAATTGGTGCAAACCCGCCAAAAGTGTGTGCACACTCGCTTTTGTAACATTTTTAAAAATATATTTCCTGACGTCTTAAACCTGTCGTGGATTTGTTTGCAAGCAATAAACTTTATATACTCATTTAGTGAAGAGTTATGTCACCATGTCTGTATGCATTACTCGATTTATTTTACTTGATATCATTGTATCAAGTGATTGGCTGTTGGCTGATATCCCCGGTGTGACTGCGCTTAATGTGCATGTTGATAAGGTGCCTACCTGTCTATTACCCACTACCTCGTTCATACTGGCTCTAGGCGACAGTTGGTCGTTGCTGGAGGACACTGGGTCTACAGTCCTCGTGGCCGTGCTAGGCTCGAAAAGTGGTTCCATGCACTCCGTTTGGAGCGGACTACGGTCCAGCCACCGCCTTGTGTGCGCTTGATTCCCAAAATACAGCGTGCTTGTGTTTGCCTGTGAAGGAGTGTGGGCCGACTCTGTTGATGAAACATGACTCCCATCTACATGCCTCCCGGTCTTATTCCTTCGGGTTTCCACTGGATATGGGGTGTGTGTTTGGAGCTGTGGATGGTGCAGCGCAAGCCACCCATGGTCCCTCTGTAGGCGCAGGTGTCCTATGGCTGGCCACAGTGACAGGCAAATCCGAAACCGGATGTCGGCAACAAGTGGCAGCCGTTTAAAAAAGACATAGAGCTAAACAAAACCATGGAAATCATAAGAGGAATACTGGTTAAATCACCACGCCGTCATGATGGCGCCTTAGCTGAAGGTGAGCAACACACTTCAGTTGTGCTGCAAGAAAAACGGAACTGATTTTGTTATTTCTTCACACGCCATTTTTCATCTTTTTGTTTTCCTTTGCCATGTATTAGGCATCTGAATCTAAACAAATGTGTACACAAATCTTCCTCTGGTTTCGACCATGCGCCATATCCTGAATTGTTTCTAGCCATCGGCACTCTTCTTCCTCTGATCCCCAACCGGGCAATCGTGTGGATCCAACGGCAGCAAGACGTGAAATCAACAATTTCATATACTGAAACCAACTGAAAGACTGACCACCACGCGGTCTCTTCTAGCCAAGCCCTGCACTAGTGAAAAGGGCGCAATAAGGCACACGCTCAGCCGACATACCCACAGCGTGACCGAGCCATCTTGGCTGACGCAGCGAAACCAATTTGTTGTGGGGCATACTCGCAGCCTCTAAGACACGAGGTCTGACTTCACTGTTGCAAATGTGTTGTTGCCACCACACACGAGCAATCCTCCACAAGCACCCATTGTCAAAAGCCAAGAGCCGGCACATGTCATCTACGCGAACTGGCCACAAATCGCCTCCACGTAGTAACACTGCCCGAACGGTGGTACTGTACACGCGACCCTTTACCAAAAGGGAGACATCGCGATGATGCCACAAGTGCTTCAGGTTGATGAAGGCTGATTGAGCTTTGGCAGTGCGAGGAGAAACTTCCTTCTCAATAGAGCCACCATCAGACACGCAACTACCCAAGCACACAAAGCTATCCACTTGTTCAAGCTGTGTACCTTCAAGAGTGAACACGGGAACGAGCAGCACTCTACACTTCGATGGGGCTAAGCACAGACCGAACATAGATGCCTCAATTGCCAAACGGTTTAAAACGGTTTGCATGCTCATCACCAAATAAGGCGATATCATCGGCATAATCTAAGTCAGTCGCCCTCTTGCCCGCCAGTAGTTGGTCCAAACTTTTGACAATCTTCCAAAACTCGGCAGGACGTCTTCAACCAGAACTGGAAGAGAAAAGGTGACAAAGGGCAACCCTGTCGTACACCGCTATTGAGAGCGAGTGACGACGAAAGCTTACCATAGACCCTCACTCTGCCCGAGATTCGGAGGTAGAGTGCGCATAGGATAGCTGCATACTTTTCTGAGACCCCGTTCTTTATCAACCAACACCACTGCGCAGATCGATCAGCCGAATCGAATGCAGCACGGATATCTGAGCACGCAACGATGTTACGTCTTTGGTGGAGGTAGCGGTGTTCGAGAATTTGCTGGAGCGTGAATTTTTGATCCACGCACCCATGGTCAGGTCGGAAGCCAGCTTGTTCTTCTCGATACTGCGATTCACGAATCGGGGAAGTGTATGGAGTAGAATGGATGCGAAAAGCTTAGGAGCAACTGAAATGAAACTAATCTTCCGGTGATTGGTACACGAAGTGCGAGCACCCTTAAAAATCGAGACAATAACTGACTCGCTCCTGGAAGAAGGCCAGCTTTTGGAGAACAATGTGGTTAAATGGCTGATGATAACTGCGCCTCCATACTTGTACAGCTCCGGAGGAAATCTTTCTGAGCCGGCAGCCTTAAATCGTTTCAGATGTCGAATTGCAAGACAAACTTCCGCATCACTGGTCGGATCAAGTGTGATGACCCCGGGGGGAGCGGCTTGGTTCGCAAGGCATACAAATGGACGGTGGGTATCAATTGAACTAGGCACGATAATGTTTGGTCCATCGATCCAAGCTTCTCTGTAGGTTGGCAATCGGCGAATCATCCGCTTCGCAAATAGTCTCGCTGGCACCAGGCTTACTGTGGCCAGTGGATCGAATGCGCTGAAAGAGCTTGCGAGCATTGCCAGAGAGGGCAGTGACCTCTAGGCTTCATGTTCACTGCGTCGGCTTCGTTTGAGCTGCCGACTGACAGAACGGCACCCTTTATTATGGTTGGACTCCGTAGGGATATTCACGCAGCGATCAATTAGATCCAAATAGCGCATGGAGACCCAGACCTTCATAGGGCGCTAAGACCACAGACTAACTGCCCGACAAAGATCATTGTTCCCTGTATACACGTTTAGTGTTCATCAATGTCTTGCTGAGGGTCATAATTGAGTGCATCGGTCAGGAAAGCTTGATAGCTCTGCTGTACCGAGAGAGTAGTTATTTTATTTGTATCCATCTTTCAACCTTTCCTTTTTGGAGACCCTCCGAAACTCATGCAGATATTCGCACAAACGAGAGCATGGTCTGAGTCAACAAATGCGGACCAGATTGATTTGTAGTCTTTTACTCTACCACGCCATCTGAAACTGATTGCGATGTGATCAATCTGAGACTAAGATTGGGACGCAGATGTGGGTCGCTAAGCAGCGGAACCTTACTTCGAATGCTGAAAGCTGGTGCTAGATAGAAATAAACGATTGTCTTCGCACAACGTGAGAAGTCTCTCTCCATTATCCGAGGGGCTCTCATCTAGCACATGAAGACCACTGAGGTGACTTTCGCATGATATTAGACGACTGACCGGTGCGTTGAGATCCCCAGCAAGTACAGCAGTATCAGATTTGCTAGCACTGTAAAATAAAAATGAAAAATAATGTGTCAGCTGTACGCCATGACGGCGCTTCGCTGCCGTGCGACCGCCACTAGTCGCACGCGGACTGTGTATACCGCGACGACGCCCACCCCTACACGGATTCGAACCCGCGCCGCAAGATTACGAGACAAACTCGTTACGTCTAGGCCACGTGCCGACTTGCCAGCTCTGCCTACGAGCTGGTGAAGTACACTGTAGAAATCGTCCCTGACCGAGTCGGGACTGCACTCAGGGGGAACGTAAGCCGAGACCACAAATAAGTTGCGTCTCTCCTCATGATATCTGTTGCTTCCGCATGATCTTCGAAGCCGAACTGCACACAGTCGGCTATTAGTGGGAAACCAGTCTAGCCGTGCGCCCTCGGCTTTACTGCTTAGGGCTACTCCAACGCCAGCTAAGCTTGCCGCCACTGCCTCTGTGTCACCAGATAGACGTAGGTAAAACATGGCTCGGCGGTCGGTGGGAGATCTCAACTCCAGCATAGCGCTGGAGTCTTGTAAGCGTGTTTCGGAAAGCCAGCAAACATCGATGGCGAGGGATTCCAAGGTGCGCGCAAGCCCGATCTGCACAAGTGTATGTACATTGAGCATGCTAAGCGGAACGAGGACCGAGGCTGAAGGAGAGCTACTGGCCGAACTCTGTTGGTATCGACGAAACCATTGGGAGTGAAATCATGGAAACAGGAATCAGCTGGTAACGGGTAACAATGGTTGGTAACAAGTGAACGGGTAGCTTGTGAATAGGGTGTACAGGTAGCAGAACTTAAGGCAGCTGAGCACGATATAGCGGCCGAACAATCCGTGGTTTTGTCAGTGGGCGTTATGCTACCCGCTTGCCTAAGCCGAAATAGGGAGTTGTCTTAGGGGACACCACCCCGAGCCTTTGCCTAAATAGTCTACCCACAAGGCAGCAGGGCGAATTCAGGGAATCGTGC